AATAATATTGAATCTTCTAATACATGAATATGGGCTGACACAATTTTTAAAAACAGGTGTAATCTTAAAAAGTATTTTGAAACAATCCCATTATATTCATAATTCTCAGATAAACAATCCTCTACTTTATGACAGAAAAAAGTTTTAGGATGAGGACATAAATTATTTGTGTTACTTAACTTTCGAATAATCACAAAGTCACAGAAAAGTTACAAGTACATTTAAAATAATTTTCTCTCCCTTGGATTATCTGATGGTGAGTCACTGACCTGATGCCTAATCCCAGATACCTCCTGGGGGATTTCCAACAAACAAGTCTATTTTCCTCCATAAACAACTAAGCTATCAAAATCAGAAACCAACACATTCCTTCTGTCCCAGCTCAGACCCTATTCAAGTCTCTCCAGCTATCCCCGATTATATCCTCTGTAGCAAAAGGGTCCAGTTTGCACAGGCACACTGCGAGGAAGCGGTCGGCTCTCAGCCTCCCTCTGTCCAGAGCGAGTTTCTGGATGTTTCCATGATTCTCACAACACCAGGCTTTGGGAAGATTCTAGGCAGGTGCATTGTCCAGTCAGTCCCCTAACTTGGGGGCCGATGCTTCCACATGGGGAGATACAGGGCAGGTGTCTTTGGCAGGAGTATCATGGATGCTGTTCTCCTCATCCCACCCGCCATGTGCTGCAGGCTTCACCACCAATGAGGTTTGCCTGGACCACCTGGTTCATGCTTTTCCACCCTGAAGCCTCTCTAACTTCGTGGATGGCTACTATAGAAATCCTCACTTCTCATCAAGCTTTCCATTTGTTCATCTATGTATCTAAATAGTCGGAAAATTTCCTATTTTACTCAAAGTGTTATAATCTGTTGCAATCTTTATTTCTTGAGACAGGGTCTTGCTCTGTCACCCAGGCTAGAGTGTAGTGGTATGATCTCAGCTCACTGCAACCTCAACCTTCCAGGCTCAAGTGATCCTCCACCTCAGCCTCCCAAGTAGTCAGGGCCACAGGTACACACCACTACAGCCGGCTAATTAAAAAAAAAAAGGTTTTTGTAGGCTGGGTGTAGTGGTTCATGCCTATCATCCCAACACTTTGGGAGGCTGAGGTGGGAGGATGGCTTGAGCCCAGGAGTTCAAGACCAGCCTGGGCAACATGGCAAGATCCCATTTTTACAAAAAGTTTAAAAATTAGCATGCCTGAGGTCCCAGGATAGTGATGCTTTGGTCGAGGATGGGTCCATGTACAACGGTGGTCTCATGATTCTGTAACAAAGCTGAAAAATTTCTACTGCCTAGAGACGTGGCAGCACACCACATTACTTGCGTTGGTGGTGGTAACTGGTCTAAACAAACCTGTGCTGCCAGTCATATAAAAGCACAGCACATACAATCACGTCTTCAGTTCTGTTTACATGATGCATCACATTTTTTGATTTGCGTATGACACAACCTTGCATCTTGGGGACGAAGCCTACTTGGGCACGGTGGATCAGCCTTCTGATGAGCACATAAAATTATGTACACAACCGAATACCTAACCATGATGATAAACAACTGTGCTACTGGTTTATGAAGTTACTGTACTTTGTTATTTTACAGCATCCTCCTACTTATATAAAAAAAAAAATAAATTGTAAAACAGCCTTGGCAGGTCCTTCAGGACGGTCTTCCAGGAGAAGCTATTGTTATCCTAGGAGGTGACGGCTCCGTACGCGTATTGTCCCTGAAGACCCTCCAGTGGGACAAGAGGTGGAGGGGAAGACAGTGACATGGAACACTCTGGCCCTCTGGAGGCCTAGGAAGGTGTGTGTGTGTGTTGTGGAGGCCTAGGTAGCTGTGTATGCACGTATGTGTGTGTGTGTGTGGTGGAGGCCTAGGCTGATGTGTGTGTATATGTGTGGATTGTGGAGTCCTAGGCAGCTGTGTGTGTGTGCGTGTGTGTCTGCATGTGTATTGCAGAGGCCTACGCAGCTGTGTGCGTGTGTGTTGTGGAGACCTAGGTAGCCGTGCGTGTGTGTGCGTGTGTGTGTGCGCATGTGTGTTGTAGAGGCCTAGGCTGATGTGTGTGCCTATTAGTTTTCAACAAAAGCATAAAACATTTTTAAAAATTTAATACAAAGCAGCTTATAGAGATAAATTATTTTTGTACAGTTGTATAATATGTTTGTGTTTTAAGCTAAGTGTTTTTATAGATGAGTCAAAAAGTTTAAAAAATTAAAACGTTAAGGTTAAAAAGTTACAGTAAGCTAAGGTTAAGTTATTATTGAAGAGCTAAAAACATATTTGATAAACTTGGTATAGCCGAAGTGTCGGGTATTTACAGAGGCCACAACAGTGCACAGTCACGTCCGGGCCTCACGTCCAGGTGCCACTTACTCACCAACTCGCCGACTCCCCTGGGCAACCTCCACTCCTGCCAGCTCCAGTCACGGGAAATGCCCTACACAGCTGTTTTTCTTTTTTTTTACCTTCTATACCATCTTTTTACTGTCCCTTTTCTGTGTTTAAATATGTCTACATACACGAATACTTACCACTGCATTACCACTGCCCAGAGCATTCACTGCACAGGACTGCGGACTGGGTGTGTCAGGCTGTACCAGCCAGGTCTGTGTAAGCGAACTCGATGTTTACACAATGAACGTATCCCCATCACTTATTTCTAATCCCCCACACGAAGCTCATCTCCCTCTGCTGCTGCTGATTCCCGGAACAAGCTGACTTCCCCACACTGCACCCTGCCTGGCTCCCACAGCCCAGGCCAGGACACCCCTCCGTGGACTCCCCTCCTCCGACCTGGGCTTGGGCGCCCTGTGCGGCTGCCCCCGACCAAGACGCCCTCACCCTGCTGCGCTATCGAAGGAGCAGAGCCCGAGGACGAGGCCTCCTCAAATGTGACACCCCAGGGCCTCTTCTGCCCGATTCTCTTCCCAGACCTGCTGAACTGCATGGGAAAAGGGAAGTCATTATTATGTTTAACTTCTGTATCAGTCATTGTGCATCTAGGACCCAAGTGATTTTTTTGTTTTTTAAAGCACATCCATTGGGATCTGTTTCTATAGAGAATTTTTTTTTTTTTTAAATGGAAAGGTTTATGGCTATATTTACTGTTGCAAGGGCCATCGGCATAATACTGTGATCTTGTGACTTCTGAGTTATTAATATTTTGCAGGAAAGATGCTTGTTAAAGTTCACTGCAACCTGGACAATCCCTTAACGAGTCTATTGTTATCGTGGGTTCACATCGAAAACTTACTTTCCCTGCCACAAACACCGTCTCTCTGGTTTCCACGGGGAGCCAGGTGTGGTGAGCCTGCAGGCAGGCGGCTTCCATCGCCTGGCTTCAGTTTTACTGGTATACTTTGCCAAATGAAATATGGTCATCCTACAAGGGCAGTTGTTCGGAACAGGCCTCTGCCCTCCAGCTTGGCATGTGCAGCTAAGGCCATGCTCTGAGCGATTTCCCACGAAAAAAAAATTTACAATGTTATTGCATTTTGGACTGAGGCAAAAATCATTAAATATTTCATTTATTCACTTTTATCTGCTTTCTCCAAAAGCTGAATTATCCTAATTAGAACATCGGAATTTTTCAAAAATACAAGATTACATTTTAATCCAAATTAATACTATTAAATATTAGTAATACATTAAAAATATTTGTTCCAGAAGAGTGCTGACAGGAGAAAAAAATCTGACTGGGTGCAGTGGCTCACGAAGGCGAGGCAGGCAGATCACTTGAGGTCAGGAGTTCGAGACCAGACTGGCCAACATGGTGAAACCCCATCTCTACCAAAAATACAAAAATTAGCTGGGTGTGGTGGCAGGTGCCTGTAATCTCAGCTACTCAGGAGGGTGAGACATGAGAACTGCTTGAACCCAGGAGGCAGAGGTTGCAGCGAGCTGAGATTGTGGCACTGCACTTCGGCCTGGGTGACAGAGCGAGACTGTCTCAAAAAAAAAAAAAAAAAAAGAAAAGAAAAAAGATCCACTATAAAGAAAATCATAACCAATTTCATACTGTAGCATCTCAGTTTTATAAATATATTAATGTATATTTATTCATAAAATAATATGTGTAAAGAAGATTTATGAGTGAAATTATTTTTATGTTTGTGTTAGCTTTAACATACCCATTTTTTAAAAAAGGGGGAAAGCAGGCAGATAATACAAAACCACTAAAATGCTGACACGTGAAGCCAGATGATGGTCACGGGTGTTTATTACTGAACACGCCCTATGCTTACATGTTTGAAAATGCTCCACTGGAAAATGAACTCTGAAAAACTATACGTCCAATGCTAAGAGTGGAATTTACTGGTAACACCCTTTATCAGGTGGTACGATTGTTGATGGCTTTATTTTATTCCTTATGTTATTTTGTATTTTCTAAAATTTCTACAATGAACATGTATGCATAATCAGACAAAAAAGCCAAGAAACATCCATTTGTTTTTCTGGTCCTTCATTTATCCCATAAATACTTGCCGAGTCCCTGCTGTGGGCCAGGCTCTGAGCCGGCTGCTGGGTAGCGTGCCGCACCCCAGAGAATGCTCAGCCCTCCCGGACTCACCTCTGGGCCTGCCCAGCCTGAGCCCTGCAGTAACAGCTGGGGTGAAGCCGGTGGGAGGTAAGAGCCTGCAATGCCTGCTGGCCCAGCGAGAACCCAGGCCCAGCACCATCGCCAGGCTTTATATGCGTAAGAACCAAGCCTGGAGCCTGGGAGTCTTCTCATGGTCAGAAATAAAGGTCCTCAACAGACAGTTCCCTGAAATGTTCCTCCACTGCTGCAGAAAGTCAAAATCACCCCAGGCACTGCTCTGTCCCGAGAGCCAAGTCCACCAGGAAAGGCAGAGGGGACAGGGGTCAGCCCAGGCATCCTTTGCCAGGGGTCGGGGTGTGGGGACCGTGCTTAGGCTGCCTGGCTGGGTCTAAGATCTGGAGAGGAAGGTGCACGATTTTTTTTTTTTTAATGTAAAGATACAGAGAGGAATCTTACCTGCAGAGGCACCAGAGGACAAATCCCAGTCCACAGTAAGGGTCCAGGCAGATGGCCACTTCTCTAGAGGGGTAAAGTTCACACTGCAGCTTAATGGAACGGCAGAAGGCACTGGTGGCTGCGTGAGACATCTGCAAAACACAAGCCTGCGTTAAACGCATCGGACCTGACACCGTAAGACACCTGTGGGAAAATAAGGCTGCACTGAACGCAGGGGACTTCATACCCACGGGTACCTACAAGACAATAAAGCCGCATTAAATGCATGGGGCCTGGCAGCCAAGACGTCTTTAAGACAGAAAGGCCACACGAAACGTGCTGGCCTCGCGCAGTGGCTCATACCTGTAATCAAAACACTTCGGGAGGCCAAGGTGGGATGGTCACTTGAGGCCAGGAGTTCCAGGCTGCAGCGAGCTAGGATTACCAGTGCACTCCAGCCTGGACAGCAGGGTGAGACCCTGTCTCTTCAACAAATTTTAGAGAACAAAACCCAGAAAACAACAAATGATACCTGGCCCCAAATGCCCAAGGCTGTTTTTAGGACTGGGGACGACTGTCGCCAAGCTGGGGCTATGTCGTGTCTGGGGAATGTGAGTGGCTGATATTTTCACTGGACTTCTCATTTTCAATGAGTAAACCTCACTCAGAACTGCTGGCCCTTCAGGACCTGGCAACGCCAGCTATTCAGAGTGCATTTGAACAGCAAGTCACACAGGAAGTGGTTCTTGTGTGATCCACTCTCCAACACACTGTCCCACAGGTAGGGGAGGCACCACGGCGCGCTCCCACCTCTGCTGGTCGAGGCCCCGCCTCGTTCGTGGCTATCTCCAGGGCTGGACATAGCCTCTGCTGTGTGGCACGTGGCCAGCGAGACCTGCTGGGTGCCCACCCATCTTAATGGTCAGAAAGTGAAGGCTCACAGAAGTTAAAGATTTTGCTGCCTGTGACATAAGTTAGAGCTGGGAGTTAGAGCTCAGGTCCTCCTACACTCCAACGCCCTTCACCATCTTCCACCATCCCGCAGGGAGATGGTGGCCAAAATCCAATCATCCCATCGTGACCAGACAGTGAAGAGCTTCCGCATCTTCCCCTTCCCTAATCCCTGTAATAGTCCCCTACAGTCCGTGTGTAATGTCGATTACTTTGAAATACAATAAAATATATTAACAAGATCAATTTTCTCACAGAAGCTCTCTAGCCAAACCTCAGGAAAAAGGAAGTCAAAGCAGCAAAGAAAACGGTCTGATTTTTGCGGTTTTAAAACACGTCACGGCTGGGCGCGGTGGCTCACGCCTGTTATCCCAGCACTTTGGGAGGCCAAGGTGGGCAGATCACAAGGTCAGGAGATCAAGAACATTCTGGCCAACATAGTGAAATCTCGTCTCTACTAAACACACAAAAAATTAGCCGGGGATGGCGGTATGTGCCTGTAGTCCCAGCTACTCAGGAGGCAGAGGCAGGAGAATCGCTTGAACCAGGAGGGTGGAGGTTGCAGTGAGCCAAGATCGCGCCACTGCACTCCAGCCTGGGTGACAGAGCAAGATTCCATCTCAAAAAAAAAAAAAAAAAAGTCACAAGTTGATCTGAAGTAGAATGTCACCAGAGCTAAACTGTAAAGGGACCAGCACGGAGCCTTGTAATAACTGGGGAAATCCAAATGCCTGGCTCCCCATCATTCATTCATCACTCCAGCAAGAGGTGAGAGAACTTGGGGTGGGGGTCCTCCCACTGTAAAATGTTCCATCACTATTGGAAGTTCTGCCCAGGAGGTTTCATGACTCTCTTACTATATTCAAACAGGGGAACGTAGAATTATTATAGAATGTAAAATGTAAGTAATTCTTTTCAGCTTGCTTTTAAGGCAAATTTTTGTTTAAAGGAGAAATAAGACTGAATTTATAGAACATCCATCCAGACTCCTGCCTCCCTGGATTAGGAGTTAGTAAAATCCTGCCTCCTAAAATTACCCACCCACTCAGATCAGCAACTAGAGCAAGCCTGCCCTGAACTGCTGCTCTGTGCAAAGCACTATTTCTAGGTGGAGAATTGAGTTCTTCAGCTCAGCAAATACTAAAGTACCAAGAGCTTGTTATCAGGCACTGTGTTAAGCGCTAGAGATGAACAGATGAGTAAGACACGGCCCTGCCCTCAGGATCCAGGTGGAATTCAGAGACGAGTGCATGGACAACTGTGTATGGAGTGTAAGAGAAAGGGTACATGGTGCTCCCATCACCCTGGCTGTGGGTCACAGGGCCAGCAGGGCCTTCGCGGGACTTCAGCAGAGAAACAGGAATTGACACCGGCTAAAGAAAAGCAGCCAAGAGAGTTCTGATGATCTACTCTACGCCAGACGCTGAGATTGTAAGTGGGCCATGAAAATGCTACGACTGGAAGCAGGTGCTTCTTTTGGCTATGACAGTAGGAGGGTCACAGCTAACTTCAGACTACAGTAACTAAATCATCTTGATCTGAAAACATTTCTTTTCAAAAGCTTTTGAAAAATTATTTTCTTTCATATTGTAGCTATTTTGGTATTCCGCCTCAGTTCCACGAAGAGGTGGATGGAGCGTGAGAACTGTGCGAGGCAAAGCCAGCTCACCAGTCAGACCCACAGACGAGGGCAGCGTCTGAGCTGAGAGGGCCATGAGGATTTCTAATACAGCCCAGGTTAAAACGCTGGAAAGTGCAGTGTTCAGAGATTTATCACAGAGCATTCGGATTTGAGAACCAGTAAGAGAGAAAAACATTCGCAGTGTTCTTCTGTCGGCTGCTGAGACCATGTTCACATAAAAACATACTTGGGACATTTGGACAGAATCAGCCTGGTTAAGGATGGAAATGGTCATACGTGTCATACTGTGATGAAACATGTATGTACACCTCTTCCCACATCTCAGAGTCTGACTACACCAGAGGCGCCGAGAGTCAGCACGCAGCCTGCCACCTCCAGCATGCTCTGTGGCCGCCTCCCGCAGCCGCCCTGCTCACCTTTACGCCAGCTAGCATCCCAGTTGTGGACACGCTGAAGTCAAGATACGCGAGGGTGTCTGGGTTGCAAGGTTTGCAGATCTGGGCAGGCCGCTTCTTTGGCAAATCATCTGGAGAGGAACACAGCTTATCAGCAGATCCAGCCTGAGCAAGGCCATGAGCAAACCACCTTCTGCAGCCAAAGCACTGACCTGTGTCCAGGATGAGGGGCCACGTCCTGACGTCTACAGCCGCCGCCGCCTCCCTGGACCGCAGCAACTTACAGATCAGCTGTGTCGTCATCAGACAGGCAGAGCGACTCACCTGGCGTCAGAGAACGGAGCCATGAACGTGGACCCAGATGAAAGCGTGCTCGCTTCACATGGGTCTCCTGCTCACTATGCACGCTAAAACCATGTAGCTTTAACGGGCAGATTAGGTTACCGAGCCCACTGTTTCCTCCTGCTGGCTGAGGTAGAACAAAGCTGGGGTCTGGTTGTGGAGGCACGGGGGCTGGGGGTGGGGCCTGCAGCTGCTGCATCTGCACTTCCTGGGCCCAGCGCACCCACAGCGTCAGCGTCATGACACGTGCAGAAAAGAGCTCACCACTCACAGCATTAGCTCTGTTCTCCTGGAAGCGTCACACACACCCAGACACGTCGTGCATAGCTCTCCCAGAAGCGTCACACACACCCAGACACGTCGCGCACGGTTCTCCTGGAAGCGTCACACACACCCAGGCACGTGGCGCACGGTTCTCCTGGAAGCGTCACACACACCCAGGCACATCGTGCATACTTTCTAGCAGGAGTGGCCACTGTGGGAGTCTCCAGCACCATGCTAAAAGGGACTCAGGTGTGGACGGGACAGGTGCATTCTCTGCCCAAACTGTTTTCCCCTGTAGTTCCTCCTTCAACAGGGATAATATAGCTGAATCCTCTCAAACTCCTCCAGCTATATATGAAGAAAAACAGATCTATACTCTCAAAAAGGAGCAGGAAACTTCTACATCTTGAGGAGAGGGCTTCTGAAAAAGCCCTGCCTCTTCCCGTGGTCGGTCTGCTGGGCTGGGTTTGTGGGGAAGCCCAAGGAATGGTGGTGATGCCCTCTCTTGGGAGCCATTTTCTCCAGGGTGGACACTGAAGAGGCTACTATCCGGCCTCTGCCTCCATGCACACCTTTAGATCTTGCTTCTAGACCTAGACTGTAGGCTCCCTGCAGGTGGAGACCCTGTCCTGTCCTGACCATTTGACTCCAGACACACACCAGCTCCCACAGCCAGCAGCTGCCCTGGGAGATGTCAGAGTCTGCGCTCTGCGAGCTCCACACTCAGCTCCAGGCAGTGGAGGCCCCGACACTCCCAGGCATGTTACCTCTACAATCATCTTGACGGTAGGCAACGTCGTCGCGATGTTCTGCGGGTGCGGGGGACGGACGGTTATGGGCACACAGCCTGCGTACAGGCAACCATAAAACGCTGCTATCAGGTCTATTCCTACACAAGGAGAAAAACAGCATTACTGAGGCAGACCACGCTACTGAGTGCCCACTGTCCCTGTCAGCATAAATGCTCGTCTGCGACAAGTTCAACGGGTGAACGAGCAGCTGAACTTCTGGCAGCCTCTGTCATCCCGGCAGGTTTAGTCAGCTTTGGCGGTCACCGTCATCTACCCATCCTTTCAGATGTGAGGCAGCCTGGAGGTTTAATTTTACATCATTTTGCTAAGGAATTACCCACCTTTGTAACTGTGAATTGAGTCAAGATTTAGGTACTATTAATTAAATTACCCTGAGGTATCTAATAACACAAATTTGGATATAAAAGTCTTCGAAAACATCACTTTATTGAAGCCTCTAACAGTAGCACATACGGCTGGTGCCCATGAGTGGTTGTAGCCAGACACAAAGGGGCCAGTTAGCAACCAGCTGGATGCAGCGCAGACTCCTGGCCATCACGCCACCCTGGGCTCAGGCACCAGCGGGTGTAAGGGACCTCCTCGCACTGCGGTTGACCGGTGGCCATCTCTCAGGGGAAGACTGCCCTGTGCCCGTACCTGGGGGGTAGACCAAGGCCACGTGGTCACCATCCTGAAGGTGGCCCCTCTCCATGAGCATCACGGCGATCTTCTCAGCTCTCTTGTGCAGCTGCACGCAGGTCAGCGAGTTCGCAATCGCACCCTGCGGGCCGATCACAGGGACAAGTGCGTAAGATTCCTTCAGCAGAGCAGCTTGCGGAGAGCGCGCACGCGTCATACGACTCACTGACGCAAAGCGAACGTCAGTGGTTTTTAGAACAAGCACAGACCTGTGCAACCAACATGACAGTCAATTTTAGAATGTTTTCAGCTTCCCCCAAAACTACATATACATTAGAGATCAACCCCATTTTCTTCCAACTAGGTAAGGAGTGCAGACCAAAGAAGCATCTAGATATATTTAGGGTAACAAGAAATATTTTGAAAAATGATTACGTCAATTAAAAAACAGAACAAAAAACCCTAACAATTCTGGGACTTGTGTTACTGTCATAGGCAGTGGGAATTCTTAGTACACTGGAAGGGCCTGCACCCTGGAAGTTAAGACTAATTAAAAATTTCAGTTTAGAAAGACCACATCAAAAATCAAGGAAGTCAGAAAGCGAAAAACAAAAGCAAATAGTTAAAAACACCCTGAAGGAATGAAAAGAACTATGAAACGCATTTTCACATAGACTTTAATGTAGAAATAAACAGAAAACATATTTGTGCTGGAAAATAGCTTACAAAAGGGTTGTGAGGGAAGGTGAATTGCAAGATACATACTAAGCAACATCGCAAGAGTGTGGGAGTCACTATTTATTTATTGAGACAGGGTCTCTGTCTCCTAGGCTGGGGTGCATGGCATGATCACTGCTCACTGCAGCCTGGGCCTGCTGGGCTCAAGCGATTCTGCTGCCTCAGCTCCCTGACTAGCTGGGACTACAGGTGCCACCAGCATGCCTGGCCAATTTTTATAAAAATTTTTCTCATAGAGATGGGGTCTCCCTATGTTGCCCAGGCTGGTCTCAAACTCGTGGCCTCAAGTGATCTTCCCATCTTGGCCTACTTAAGCCATAAAGAAAAATGTGAATAAATTGCAAATTATAAACATGTAACTAACCAAAACAAGCTTCTCCTGCCGACACACTTCACAGTTCTAGCTCCTCTGCAACATTCTCAGATGTGAAGAGTGCTTCTACGTCATTTAAAAACCTCTTGGGATCGGATTCTGTCTCACAGCTATTAACACAGTGAGGATCTTCCCTCAAGCAACTGGACCGCAGTCCACGGGGCCAGGAAGACTCCAGAGCCGAAGAGTGACTGAACACCCGGGCTCAGGAATTTTTTGTTTTTTTTTGGAGACGGGGTCTTGCTCTGTCGCCAGGCTGGAGTGCAGTGGCATAATCTCAGCTCACTGCAACCTCCACCTCCTGGGTTCAAGCGATTCTCCTGTTCCCCTGCCTCAGCCTCCTGAGCAGCTGGAACTACAGGCGCCCACCACCGCACCCAACTCATTTTTGTATTTTTAGTAGAGACGGGGTTTCACCATGTTGGCCAGCATGGTCTGGATCTCTTGACCTCATGATCCGCCCGTCTTGGCCTCCCAGAGTGCTGGGATCACAGGCCTGAGCCACCACGCCCGGCCCAGGAATTCTTATGTGAGTCACAGCTACAAAGATGAATGCGTGGGTGTGGGGATGGAGCACGGGGCGCGGACTTCGTGCAACAAAGAGGACGCTGCACGGACGAACAGTGTCTGGGGCTATTCAGCGGCCATGCTGGGAAAAGCACGTCAGCCTCCCAGCTGGAAGGGCCCAGGTCAGAAACACGTGGGCGGGACAGGGTGGGAGTGAAGAGAATGTCTCAGGAAGCATCAAGATGTGAACGCCAGACCCTGACCTCTACCAAAACGTCCACCAGACAGCCGATGAGCCAGCTAGGTCTGCGGGGAAAGCGCCTTCTCCCTGAGGCCTCTGCACAGGCCAGGGCTGCGGGGAGGCTGCCCACGTGACGGCCCAGTGGGTCTTCAGACCCTTCCTGCTGACTGGCTGGTTCCTCCATGGAGGAGAGAGTTAGCTTACACTTCTCTGAACTCAACCTTCTCATCCCACTCATCTTCCTTAATTATTTCCCCACTCAGAGGACACCTAAAAAGAAACAAAACAGAAACCGATGTAAAGTGGAAGAGCCCAAGAGCAGAAGGCGGCAGAGATGGGCAAAGACAACAAGGCAGGCAGGGCTGGAGCCCAGGAAATCCCGCCGAGAAGGTAGATCTGGGGGCCTTTGAAACTGGACTGTTCCTCTGAGCATTCACTCTTGGGGGGCTCCTGGCCACCTGTTCACAGCAACCAGCCCACCGGGACAGAGACACTCCGCACGGCCAGGCTGGGCGCTGATGGGACCCATTCAGATCCACCCCGACTCCAGGGACAGGTCTCCCCACAAGGAAAACCAGCACACCACCCATCGCCGTGAGCATGGCCGGGCCTGGGGCTGGCGGGGGCCGCAGGCTCAGAGAGGAGCCCGGGCGGAATCGGCTCAGCCCCCGCCCCGCTGAGGGAGGCCCCGCCCCACTGAGGGAGGCTCCGCCCCACTGAGGAAGCTCCGCTCCACTGAGGGAGGCTCCGCCCCACTGAGGAAGCTCCGCCCCGCTGAGGGAGGCCCCGCCCCACTGAGGGAGACCTCACCACCGCACAGCCCATTCTCATGCCAGGCCTGCCTGCAGCAGCAGCGCCCAGTCTGGTTTGTTTGGCTTGTGGAACAGCTTCTTCCCCATCTCTGGAGAGCTGAAGCCGATCCCCTATCAAACAGCCGCTTTGCTGTCAGATGACAAAGCCTGTGGTTTGCCCACTTTCTGGGTCCTGAGATTTGAGAGGCTCAGATGAGACACAGCCAGCAGCCAAGAGTGTCTTTGAAAACGTTTTGATTCTGGTGCACATTAATCCCCACCTATGGGTACTCGGAAAACGTGAAGTGTAACGTGCGTATGCTGTGCGTTGTCCTTTATCTTTGATGACCTTGTGAAACACCATTTTCTCAATGCTGGTTGACCCCTTTCAGAGCTGACATAAAAACAAACAGCAAAGCTTCCAGTCACGCTCCATGAGGACAGCGTCCCTTCTCGGGTGTTAGGTCCTGAAGCCAGCTCGCAGGGTGATTTAAAATAAGTTCCTCAAAAGCCCCTTGAGATGGTGCTGTGCTGGAGACAGGCACACAATTTCACAGCCGGTCAGACGTGAGCAGGCCCCTCTCGCTCCACGGCCGGGTGGGGCCGGGCCATGGGTGACACCAGGTGGGTGCCTTTCTTGCCTGGAAAGGACGAGGTGAGCAAACACTAGACCCCCCCCATTGGCGGGGAGGGACAGTCACTCCTGGCTCACGCTGCAGGGCTGCCTACAGCAGCTGAGCAGTTTCCCTTCTTCCTTGCCGCCTTTCCCCTACCCCGTGTGGCTGAACGGGACACGGCTACACCACATGGCAACTCCACACACGCGACACTGTTCTCAGCCTCACTCCCTAGGAATCCTAATGCAGTGTCTACCTCAGGAGAAATGCCACTGGCTTTGGCTTGCACTTTCCATTCCCACATACTCGATGTTAAGAACGTGATGCATTCTCGGTGACTGTCCCATAAAGCAACAGCCAATCACTGCAGGTAACAGTCATCATTCTCTGGCATCCTCATCAACATTCACTGGGGTTTCCGTCCTGAAACCCACCAGGGCCACAGACCAGATGCCGAGCCCAGGACTGTGGTACCACCCAGCAAACAATCTGAGGGATCGTCCCCAAATCAGGCACAGCTGCAACAGCTCTATTTTCCTCCTCCTGATGGCACATGTTGCCCACGAACATACCCAGATCATTTCTGAATCTTTGCGTATATGGGGGTCTCTGCTACTTCTTGAGCTTCCCATCAATACCTCTAGATTACTGGACACAGACACGCGTGCAACCCACACATACGGGAGCAACGTGTCAGGCAACATCGGGGCAGGGATTCAGAGAGACTCAGAGCTGACTCCGCCCCTGACTGCTTGCAGCTTGCAGAGGGGTAGCCGCCTCTGTGAGGAAATCAGGGGGAAGGAAGAAGGACTTTCAGCAGAAGGGATCTGAGGTGCTGAAGGAGGCTGGAGTTAGTGCTGCAGATTTAGGTCACCACGTTGGAGGCGACATTGGAAGTCTCTAGAGAACCGTGAAGACCACAGGGAACGAGGAACGAGAAGTCACAAGCAGTTTACAGGAGAAACACTACTTGGAGAGGACAAAGAATCAGACAAGCAGAGACGGGCAGGAAATCAAGACAGCACCCAAGGCCGGCGAACCTGACGATCGGGTTAGCAAAGGGGTATCATCCATATTCACAGGCTGAGGAAGGGTGCAGTGGAGAAAGATGAAAAGTGGAAGGCGGCATTTCAGATACAGGGAACCACAGCAACTTTGGTCCTCAAGGTCCGCGGCCCCCACGCCTGAGCTGTCGGTGCGGGGCAGTGGCTCCATCACAGTGCCAGTGAACGAGGGCCCGAAGGAGGTGGCAGAAACGGGCCTTCCTGGTTTTAAAGGCTCTTCCTGGGAAACGGTCTTGAGCAGATACGGTGAATGACCGACTGCTGGGATCAACTCAGCATCCGTGACAATGTCAAGACGACAATGTCTTCTCTGGCAGAGGAGAAGGAGAGGGTGTTCCTATGAACTAAATCACGTGCAGAGAATGGTCTGATAACTGAAACTCAAACCAGAGAGTCGGGGAATAATTTCGTGATGCTGCTGGCATTTCCTTTTGTCTTCAATCCGTGGCTTCGCACGCTAAGATTCTGAATTGAGCAATTCTAAGCAGCCACGACTTTTGAAGAGTTGCAAAAGTGCCTATACTTGTCAAGACGACTTACATTTTTCATCCGTTTTCAAGTTTTATGTCCAGGGCAAAAAGAAGTTACAAGCATATTAAGATTTCTGCATTTAATTTTTATTGTTAATAGTATTAGCTTGTTTAATGCCTTACTCTTAAGTACTACTGTGGAGCAGTATTTGATGAGTGTGGTTTTCTTACGTAAAGTGTCAACAGGAACTTAAATTACAAAGTAGAAATGATTTTCATTCCTGAGTCTGCAATAAATATAACTTCTGATGTATAAAAAAGTGGTTTAGGGCTGGGTGTGGTGACTCATGTCTATAATCTCAGCACTTTGGGAGGCCAAGGCAGGTGGAACACTTAAGGCCAGGAGTTCTAAACCAGCCTGGCCAACATGGCAAAACCCCATCTCTCCTAAAAATACAAAAATTAGCCAGATGTGGTGGTGGGCGCCTGTAGTCCCAGCTACTCGGAAGCTGAGGCATGAGAATCGCTTAAACTAGGGAGGTGGAGCTTGGAGTGGAGATCGTGCCACTCAACTCCAGCCTGGGCAACAGAGCAGGACTGTCTCAAAAAACAAAACAAAAACTAGTTTAGTAATCAAAATAAAAATGCAAATATCTCATAGACTTGCGATTTCTGGTAGATACCATTAATTACTCATTTTGGGGGAGAAATATTGTAAACAGGGTGCTAAAATATCTGATACACAAGTAGGTGTGAGTAACTGCACAAATGGTTATGCTTAAAAGCAATCCCTAGGTACAAAAGTCTCAGTCAGAAGAGCAAAACATAAAAAGAATTCGCATAAGACTGAAGTGAAAGGACCGAGTCAGAAAGAAAGCAGGAGCGCTCCCAGGAGCCAGGCTGGGCCCCTTGAGGCCAGCAGCCAGGGAAGCCAGCCCCGCGCCTCACCCGACAGTTGAGCAGCGTGTAGAGGACGTGGTCCGGGGTAGTCTGTGCTCTCCACTGCAAGACCTCCGAGAGGAACAGGAACTGGAACAGAGCACAGGGGTGAGGGTCAGGCCGTGCGGTCGGATCAGGCTGTGCGGTCTGAGGTGGGGCAACCTGGATACTCAAACCCATAAAGACCGAGTGCTTTGGGTCTTAAAACCGCGTGCTTCTCCGCGGAGTCGAGGACATGCATGCTGGGAAAATCCCCGTCACACACGACCACAGGACAAGCAAGTGCCCACAGCTTTGTTCCTGCAGGGCTTAGATTCACAGCGCCCGAGTCAGTCACAGGCAAAAGGCTGGTGCTGTACCCTGGTGTGAAGTTTCCTGAAAGTCTGCCCAAGGATGGGAACCATTTCCCTCACAGGCAGGAGCAGCCTGCACAGAAACCCCTTCTCCTGGGGCTTCCAGAAGATCCAACGTGGATTTCGGCGGCTACAATGAGAGAATCAGATCTATCTGGTTTGAAAAAGCAGGCTCTGATAAATTTAGGTTTCTAGAATGGCAATACCCCGATGGCATGAAGCCACAAATTACACAAACCACACGTGTGCCACTGACCTGCTCCATAGTACAAGGGGCAGCCTTATTTCATGTCAGGGACAGAAACCACAGATACGGCTTCATCCCTTTCATCAACATTTCACGGGGCTGATTTCGTCCCATTTCCTAACGGGCCGCACAGAAGGGGACACCTGTTGGCTGCGGGAAACAGGACCTCTGGGTGAGCCCAGAGCATTCTCAAGGCCGAACAGTTCTAACGGGGACCGTGGACACACATGGCGCACGGTCAAGGCCGAACAGTTCTCATGGGGACCGTGGACACACACGGCGCACGGTCAAGGCCAAACGGTTCTGACGGGGACCGTGGACACACACGGCGCACGGTCAAGGCCGAACGGTTCTGACGGGGACCGTGGACACACACGGCGCACTGTGCAAAGTCTGGGCCTCGGGAGTTTCTCCTATGGCTTTTAACGCCACTGTCGGGAGGCCTGGCCCCCAAACCTGGGTTTCGAACTGCTTCTTAGGGTCCAGAAAGCACAGGGCAGAAGCCTTTTGCTGCAAGCTGCTATGGGCAGGGCGGGCTTTGAATCTGGGCTGGTGGGGAAACTGGAAAGGAAGGAGTTCGGGGAACCGTGGGCCGGACAAGGACTGCCAGACATTTGCCTCAGTACTGCCAGTCGTGGGATCGGACACCCCTCACCCACTTCTGCGTCGCTGTGACATTCTTTGAAACTTTTTATCTCCTATAAACACATTTTTCTTATGAAAGTATATGGTCTCTTGCAAGAGAAGACAAGTAGAATAAAGGAAGATTGGGCAGTGGTGGACCACCACCAGCGCGGGAAGCCGGGGAAAGTCGGGAACGGTCGGGGACGGTGGGGGACGGTGGGGGACGGCTGGGGAAGGTTGGGGAAGGCCGGGGACTGTGGGGAACGGCAGGGGAGGGTCGGGGAGGGTCGGGGAGGGTCGGGGACCCAGTTCCTACCTTCCGGGCCTGGTCGTTATCTTCGATCTGACCCAGGTCTCTGCCGCTGGCCTGCGCGATTCTCTTCCCAGAGACCAGGTTCCCCACCATCACAGAGGCGGGGCCGATTTCTGGAAAGAAACAGAGACATGGCCTTGAGGAAACAAAAGAGAAATTCTTTAAGACTTGACCTCCCACCTTGGTAAAGACCTTACTCTCGGAAAACTTCTGGAAAGACCTGGCTTTGAATAAACCTTCTAAGAACAGGGATTCAACAAAATCAAAGGATTGTGAAAGGGAGTGTGACAAGCCTTAGTTGGGTTCTTCAGAAACGATGTTATCATCCCTGAAGCTCCCTGGAGGCCCTCCAAGCCCATGCCTGACTTTCCAGTTAGTGTGAGAGCCCCGGGTGCTGGCACTCACAGCCTTGATTGTAAAAAATAAGACGGAAGACACAGAATTGAAAGCCAGGATTTGTTTCACTGCAGAGACCTGTGGCTCCCGTCTGTTCGAGTTCTCTGGGGTCCACACACCTGAGATCTGATTGTGGACAAACAGACAGTGGACATTTCACATACGGATGTCATGGCGTGAAATTGAGGGTGACACTGTGGACAGGACAGGATACAGAGTCGCTTCTCAGTATGTTTTACACACTGAAAAGGTCTTAGGTTCTGTCAGGCCCACAGTGAGGTGTGGAAGAACAAACCAAGAGCTGTCATAAAGTCAAGTTCCTTTTTAGTTCACCATGAGTGATGAGGTGACTATCATCTGGGCAAAGGGGGGAGGAAGGAGGAGGAAAAGGGAAGGGGTGAGAAGGGGGAAAGGGGTGGGAGTAGGGGGAGGGAAGAGGGGAGGAACAGGGGAGAGGGGATGGGGTATGGGAGGGGGCAGGGGAGGGGGGATGGGGGGAAGAGGCAGAGGAAGCAGGGAGAGTTAAAGAATGTTTACCAAAAGAATTGCATGTAAAATAACGATGACATTATCAATTTGTGCCTAATCCTTGGCTTACAGGCTATCATTAAGTCAAAGTCTTAAATTCCCGATAAAGGTCAAGTGACAGGTCTGTAAACCAGGCCACATGCGCATTCGTTAACCCACAAGCAGAGCTGTAGCTAAGCAGATTGTTCACTGCCCTGTCAAAAACACACACGTGCCCAGATGCAGTTGACTGGGCGGTGGCACCGAACAAGGCTTAGGATGAGCCCGTCATCGTGACAACCACCACAGAGTCCCTCGGCTTCCCGAAAAGCTCACGGAAACGGTGGCACCAGAGCAAGGCGGTCAGGGCCTGACGTCCTGTGGCTGGCCCCCAGGCAGAGGAGAGCCACCGGTCTCTACAGGTGTGCAGCCATCCCTTTCAAACGTGGGCTGCCAGAGACGCTTCCACTCTTCACAGCTACGCAGAAGGCACTTCGGCCAGGACGGAAACCTGGAGCACGGCCTACAAGCAGATGTCTGGCTTCTGCCTGCCGGTGCCTTGGGTTCTAGGTGACGTGTAGGAGCCTTGAGTCTGGACTCCGTGTAACAGTAAAATGCCTTCTACACCCAGCAAAGTATTTTTGAATGTTCACGTCGCAGTTGTGAACTGAATTTCTTTTCTTAGTTCTTAATGAAGCATGGAAGAGGAATAGCCTTTTCACATTTAGCTAAAGAATTTGGTCAGGCGCTGGGAGGGAGGGAGCTGCCCTGTGGTGGGAACAATTGCTCCTGTGTGATCTCTGAACACCTGGGAGCCCCTCATTCATCCACCGCGCATCCTCTATCTCTATCAGATAGAAGCGTCTTCTGAACGATGCATCTTTAACATTTTTTTTTGAGACAGAGTTTCACTATGTTTTTGAGGCTGGTCTCGAAGTCCTGGGCTCCAGCGATTCTCCCACCCCAGCCTCCCGCATCGCTGGGACCACAGGCGGGAGCCACCGCGCCTGGCTGAAGTTCTTAGCCTTCTCCTTGGTGACCGATGCTGGCCAAGATGACACGGTTCTTCTAAGAAGCCAACTTGGAAACTGGCCTAAATGGGTTCCAAAGTTCCCCATATGTTTTTAAGAATTCATGCTAGGGGGAAAGCGAGCTTTTGAGGAGAGATCAGGCTTTTGTGGAGCCTTATTTTGTGCCCCTCTGCTACGTCTTCCCTCATCTCCACGTGCATCCTCTGAAGGGAAGTTTGGGGCCTTGAATGCCTCCCCACGCAGACTCAGGGACGCAGTTTTCCCGATAGCTCCTGGGAGGCAGAGGCCTTCTAGCCGCACCTCACTCTCAAAGTCCGTTCTTGGCAGCCGCTGAAGAGAGGTGGGCGTGTCCCAGATGCTTCCAGGGTATATCACAGCCTCGCCATTTGAGCTACAGAGTTGAGAGGAATCCCAAAACGCCTGTATTTGAGGCTCAAGTCTCTTCTCTCTGCTCCCATTAATGGACTCACCCATCTGCAAGTCAGCAGATGCCTCGCTGTTGTCAAATATCCTGCCACGCAATGCTTGGCGAATTTGCTCAGGGCACAGGGCGGGAGTTTTATCTCAAAGACAGCAGCAAGACACACGGAATCCCAAGCGGGAGACAAGCCCTTCCTGGGTGCCAGGCTCTGGCCATTCCTCAGCAGATTCCTCCTGCGATTCTGGGGCAATATTCCCAGGAACCTTTAAAGCTGAGGAATTGGACCTTGTTTTGTAACTCTCTAATAGTTGTACCAGCTCAGCTGATAAGTTAAAGGTCTTTTAATACTTTTGTGCTCAAATAAGATAATCTGAGGGTACACAGTGCCATTCCCTGAGTAAACATGAATTCATCCAGTAAGAAAGGCAATTTGGTTGTCAACAGGCTGTCTCTGTTTCCAGCATCTCAGAACACCGTCACCCATAAAACGGCTCAAGGAATGTTTGCTTCGGCTTCCGATAATGGCTACTCACTTGTCAGGGTCATTTAAAATGTTTATCCAAAGGGGCCTCAGAAATCATGCAGCCCAATTCCGTCTCTGTGGTTCGAAGCTGAGGCCCAAGCTGCGTTTCAGGCCCTCAGCAGAGACAGATGAGTCTGTGGGCAACTCATGGGGCCTCAGCGCTGCCAGTTAATATTTGTTAAAAAGCTTTTTAAAGACACAAAATTAGGTAACCTCTCAGGTTAGCAAAAACAGATGAGACACTAAATATACATATTATTTTCTTTCTTTAATGTTATCAATCACATGAAGCTTCATTTAATGAAGCTCTGTATTAGAGTAAAAAGATTTCCAATCTCCTGCGCCACCATTCCCCAGCTAAACCCCTGACGAAGAGGCCTTTCTGCAGGCCTCCTGACCGCACTGCGCGGTTGCTGGCTCTGTCTCCCCACTGGGTTTTCCTGACCTTGGCGTGAGGCTGCTGGCTGCTCTCTCTCCCTGGGTTTTCCCAGTCGCGTCTCGACATTTGGCTCAGGTGAGCCAAGCCCTGTAGCTATGGAGTCATTACAACTTTGTATTTGCAAAGGGTCCTCCCTTCCATAAACACCTGTCTGAACCCTTTCTCCACCAACTACTGAGCTGCTTCCCAGCTGGCACCACGGGTCTCTGGGTCGAGAGTGTCTGACAATGAACCAACCAGTGGGGAGAGAGGATCAGGTCGCTTCAGAGTTTACAATGAGGATACCCTGGAGAGCACTGACACCTGTTATAAATCTTCATACTGCAGAAACAGCCTGGGGAGAGCAATGGCCTGTGTCCTTCACAAGGCTGTTTACTTCCCGAGGCGGCAGACAGAGGCGGCTTTCCCACCCTTTCAGGGCACTCCGAGGGAGCATGCCCATGGTTTGAGTGGCTCCCAACAGAAGGCCATGCACCCACAGAATGTAGTGAAATGGATACTGCCCCCTGCAACTCCACATTCCCCGTGCCAATCATGAAAACCAGGGACCATGAGAACAACGGTTTGGAAAAAAAACTGTCAATCATAAGAACAGAGACCGTAAGAACAATGGTGCCGGGGCGGGGGGCGGGGGGAGAAGAAACGGAGGAAGAATATTTAAGGAAATCTGCAAGATAAGAAAAAAATAAGAAGTAGGTCAGAAATGAAAGAGCAACAATACACGTGAACCCGATGTGCTTAGAAAGTGAGAGCACCACGGCCGTGTCCTTCAGGAGAATGAGCTTTTGCTACAAGAGAACAGAGCCAGCCAGTTATGTGCTGATGACCACACTAACACCCCTGAGCCTACAGAGAATAAAAGCAAGGCATTTACAGACGGAAGACCAGAATCCAAGTTGCCCCACCCTGCGTTCTATTCTTGGGGTAACCACTTCTTTCCCACAAGCATCAGCTTCCTGCAAGCAGCCCTGTGTGAGCTCCCGCACCTCTCCGTGCCACGCGGCCCTGTGTGAGCTCCCGCACCCCGTGCCCCGAGATCCTGTGTGAACTCCCGCACCCCGTGCCCCGAGATCCTGTGTGAACTCCCACACCCCGTGCCCCGAGATCCTGTGTGAACTCCCGCACCCCGTGCCCCGAGATCCTGTGTGAACTCCCACACCTCTCTGTGCCACGCGGCCCTGTGTACGCACCCCGTGCCCGGGATCTGTGTGAACTCCTGCCTGCCTCTCTGTGCCACGCGACCTGTATGAGCTCCGCACCCCGTGCGGGATCTGTGTGAACTCCGCACCCCGTGCCCGGGATCCTGTGTGAACTCCGCACCCCCGTGCCCGGGATCCTGTGTGAACTCCCACACCTCTCTGTGCCACGCAGCCTGTGTCCCGCCCCGTGCCCGGGATCCTGTGTGAACTCCCGCACCCCGTGCCCGGATCCTGTGTGAACTCCGCACCCGTGCCCGGGATCCTGTGTGAACTCCCACACCTCTGTGCCACGCGTCTGTGAACTCCGCACCCCGTGTCCGAGATCCTATGTGAACTCCGCACCCCGTGCCCGAGATCCTGTGTGAACTCCGCACCCCGTGCCCGAGATCCTGTGTGAACTCCACACCCCGTGCCCCGAGATCACTGTGTGAACTCCGCACCCTGTGCCCGAGATCCTGTGAACTCCCACACCTCTCTGTGCCACGCGCTCTCTGTGCCACGCGGCCCTGTGTGAGCTCCCGCACCCCGTGCCCCAAGATCCTGTGTGAACTCCCGCACCTCTCCGTGCCATGAGGCCCTGAGGGAACTCCCGCACCTCACAAGCTGCCCAGGTGGTGCACATACCTGGCTGCTTCTGTCGAGGCTTAGGCAAGTTTGTGACGCAGGTGTGGGGGCACATTAGGACGTTGCAGGGGTGCAGAGAGCCCTCCAGAAAAAGCTGTTTTGTTTCTGACAGATGGATCCCACCAAGCGGGGTTTTGGGGAGGGTGTTTGCTGGCACCAAGGCCAGGCAATAAACTCCAACTTGATGTATACTGTCAATCGCCTAGAAAGCAAGAAAGAGGAAGCCATATTATAATAGGAAGCATAAACACTCAGTACATATTTATATTATGCAAAATATGATCCACAACACACAGAAGTCTGTGCAGTATAAGCACTGTTCCCAGCACAAAAACGCCAAGGTAAGAGAAAGGGTTTTCTTGCTAAACTCACTAGAGCTGAATAATGTTACCCAGGGCTTGTGGAAGACCAAACACAGCAAAAAAGGAACTTCGGAGAAAAGACATGTTCTCACAATCAAACAAAAAGCTTCCTTTGACCTTCCCAAGGTGACCAGTAGGAACCAGCTGTGCCAATTCCTGGTCCCTACACCCCCGAGTTTCTGGACACTTGATGTAATTTCTGGTCAAACGAAGGGAAGGGAAAAAGGGCCACCCCATGGGCAAAGCCACAGCTGGTCACGCCGTGATCTGAATGAAGGAAGGAGGCCAGAAACAAGACAGAGGGGACCAGTGCCCAGGGCGAGGGAGGGCAACCTGCAGCACGCGGCTCATCCACTGGAAGCTGTCCTCCTCTGTGGAGTCGGGCCTCTGCTCTGCCACGATCACAATCCTCTCGTCGTGCAGCACAGTCACCGAGAACACGGCTATCCTGCGGGGACACAGGAGCACGGTGAGCCTGCACCGGACGCTCATGCAGCCCCCCCTCCGCGATCGGGGCTCCATCACCATCACGAGCGGGTGACACAGCTCCAACTACGACTTCAACACGGCAGCCGTGCTTCCGAATCTCCCCACACTCATCGTTACGGGAAGAGCTGCGGGAGGCGCCCAGGGATGCTGCCGAGGCAAGGTCACCCTGATCCCCAGGAGGCCACACACAGCACCCGTGGGCTCTGGTGACCAGGTTACACCTTTCGGTACACAGGGGCAAATGTGCAGTGATCAGACCTGCTGAAGTTGAGAGAGCCACACCCTTCACAGCTGAGTTTGCACCTGTGAAGTTAACGGTCTCCAAATCAGTAGAAATTTCCCGTTTCAGAACTAGTGATGTTCTGCTCAGTGTACGTGCCTTATGCCGCCAGCACAGCATAGTCACCTCTAGTAAACTCGTTTTACAAAGAGGTTGTAGCTTCAAAAATAATTCAAAGGAGGCAACATCATCTCCAGGTATCTACTTCCTGCTCCTGTCAGCTTCCTAACTGAAAAAAGGCTCTCAAACACTTTAGGACTTCCTCCCGACTGGCACAAACTCAGGAACCCTGGCAACTCATTTCATCACGGGGCCTCCGCTGTGCGCCAGGCAAGGCAGGGAAGAAAACGGCGGTAGAGCGGGGAAGTGGCGAGCGTCTGCGCGCACGCAAGCCTGTGACTCAGCCGTCACCCTTGGGTCTCTCCAACCGGCTCTGTGATGAATATCTGGATCTTTAATTTGTGCCGTTATTTATCAGAAGTTTTCTACGGCATATTCCTTTATACTTAGAGGGGAAGTTCAATGGAAATATATTTATGGGGTTCAGGGAATTTCTATAAAATCTCGGACATTCAGAACTAGGTTAAATCTCAGAGGTCAGAGTCCAGTTGCTTCAATTATACAGAAGAGGAAACCGAGACACAATACATTTAAGGAATCTGTGCAACTTTCAACCCTTCAAAACCACATAAAAAGTGTGGCCGACTGGAAACTATATGCTTAATTTGCAGAACGCCACTGACCTTCCCCTGTAGACAAACTTCATGGGTTCGACAGCCAGCGCAGTGGCCACAATGTCGTCGGCGTTGTGCCTGCGCCCGCTGACCACCATGAGGCCATCCATCTTGCCCACCACGAAGACGAGACCCCCGGGACCCACAAACCCCAGCAGGCCTGTCCTTATGAACGGGTATTCGCTGATCGGAGCCCCGGAGCTGGTCATGGGAAACACCTGCGGAAACAGCATCCATCAGGCCACCGTTCACGTGGCCAGCTGGTTTTAGTCCTCACCGCTTCTCCTGCGAGCACGGCACCTGCTTTGCTTAAGCTCTGCCTTTCACCCCAGCAACCCTGCCCGAGGGCCGAGGTCACAGTTACTGCTGGTGGCCAACAGGCAGAAACGCACTTCCCGCCCACCTCAGCAGGACCCCATCCGTTCCTGCACCTCCACTCACCTGCGGGAGCTCCCCCTGCCTCTGAACCCTGAACAGGTAACACCCAGAAGACTCGCAGGAGGCCACTCAGCAAGAACTGATTACTTCGTTTACAAAACCACAATGTAAAAGATGAGTGAAGAGTCAAGGTACATTTTAAACAACGTATGTTAGTTTTAAAGTAATCTCTATTCATTCATAAAATGTTATTTGCCCCTGTTGGAAGTGTGCGGAAAAGAAAAATATTAAGGAAGCAAATCCAATCAGTGCAAACTGTAAACCTCTTTTCCTCCACCCTTCAGATAAATCACATAGAAATGGAGATGGGGTTTTCATTTAGATTTGTATCTAGCTCAGTTTCGAGGGATATTTTAGAAAGTTCAATTCACATTCAAGAAAGCTATCATGGACAGGTATTGTAACATCTGTTCAGACACATCCAAAGTTCTCAACATTTAGACCAGGAACAGTGGCTCATGCCTGAATCCTGGCACTTTACGAGGCTAAGACGGGAGGATTGTTTGAGACCAGGAGTTTGAGATCAGCCTGGACAACAGCACGAGACCCCATATGTACAAAAGAATTTCTTTTTAATTATTTAGGTGTGGTGGCACATGCCTGCAGTCCCAGCTACTCAGCGGCTGAGGCAGGAAGATGGCTTAAGCCAAGGAGTTTAAAGCTGCAGTGGGCTGTGATCGTCCCACTGCCCTCCACCCTGAGTGACAGAGCAAGACCCTGTCTCAACAACAACCAAAAGTTCTAAACATTTAGGAAATGTATCCCCAAACAATTTATATTTTCTTACGTATAGCTTAAATATTGTGCTACTTGTAAGGCCAGGACCTACTCGGTAAAAAGATGAGTTCTGAGTTGTAGCACTGAACGTGTGTCTGACCCCTTCATGTCTCTGCTCATTACACAGCACATCTGTGCACACGCCCCTTGTACGCACATTACACACGCGCCTGTGTATACCACAGACGTACTTGGGCGAAGCCCTTCTTGCACACGAGTGCACGTTCCCTCATGATCCACTTTTCACAGTAAAAGTGAGAAAAGTAACAAAAAGGATCCTTTCTTAGGAAATCGTGCTTGTTGTTTTAAACCCTGGTTGTAAGGTCAGAACAATGCTGATACAACAAATGTATCAAAAGTGATACAAAGTGGTCAAGTGCCATCATTTTCATGAATATAAACACGTCTTGCTGAAAATGGATCTTACATTCCATGTCTGTCGCTACGCACCTGCCAAGGCTGTTTGGAGACGGAGCCATAGGCAGTGCTCGTGGCAGGACTGTCCTCCACCTACCTCAAAGGTGTTCTTGGTCATGCCGGAGAGGCCATAGTAGGACGTGCCCGTCGCAACTGCACACACACACAGCTCCCCAATCTCATCCGTTCTACACAGCTGAGGAACCCCGTCTGGCTTCACTGAACACATGATGGCTAAAAGCAAACAGGAAAGCACATGCAGTGTGAGAGGGGGTGGGTGGGGAGAATAAAGAAAACAGGGAAGACGTGAATATGAACGAGGACACCAGTGAACAGGAATGGGGTCTGGAGAAAAACTGCACGGATGGTCGTCACCCAGACATTCCTTTTCCCTAAAGAGCTGTGATTTTTCCTGTTGGAGCAATATGGCCAATTTCATAGCTGAAACATCAATAAATATTGCAACTGCTTTAATGTTAATGTGCAAGTTGTATTTAGGGGCGTAACATCATCTGCCATTTAGATTTGGGGAGGAGCCTCAGAACCAGCCTCAGGGCCACCTGCTACACGTGCATCAGCAACGTGGCGCAACCTGAACTCTGCAAATCAAGCCTCTAATGTCTTATGGAAATCTGAGCCTTCGATTTCATGCTCCGTGCAAGGTGAGTCCTTCCGAGAACACCCCTGGAGCGCTTCGCACACGGTTCCGTGATCAGTTCTCACTGGTCTGTGCCACCAATACTTCGATGCTTTGAACAACAACGTCCTACGTAGCCCCCAACTGCAAGCCACAAATCTGATTAGGGAGCCAAGAGCCTCATGCTTCAGAGGGGTGGAGTGTGCGTTAGTGACAGCTGAACTGTTTAGAAAGAGCCTGAAACAGCCGGCACCTACTGGGCTGGAGTACGGGCGTCTAAGAAGTAGAACAGCAGAAACATAAGTTAAACTCACAGGAAGAAAAATTCACATTAAAATTACACTGAAAGATTATTCACCCATCATATTGGTAAAAATAAAAGTCAGGTAATAGGGCGGATAAGGGAGTGGAGAAAGAAGTGCTGCTGTTTACCGCTCGGCAGGGTGTAAAAGCCTCACAAGCTTCGAAAAGACAACCATCATAAAAGCTACATCGGTAGTTCTCTTTGAAACAGAACTCCCACTTCGAGAACTGTTTCCATTAGACACGAGGGGGTCACTCATTGCAGCAGCAAAAGAGGGAAAATCCCCAAACAGGGGAGGCTCAAATAACCTTAGTGGTCCCACAACATAGCACCGTGCCGCCTGGAGAACAGCACGGAGCTCCTTACGTGCTGACAGAGGACCCCAAGATATAAAATATGCGTGTGTAGGCAGTGCTCTGTCATGATGTGAGAAAACCCCCAAACCCAGGGCAGAGAACACACACGGGGTGGGGGGCGCACGCTCTGTCCCACAGCCCCAGGTGCCTCTGACGGGGAGCCTGGGAAGCTCGCGGCTGCTCTCACAGTCACAAAGGAGCGTTTCCATTGTGTCCTTCAGAACCTTTGGAAGATTTCACCATGAAGCTCCATTTACTTGAAAACTAAATATTAAAGAAAGAAAGGGAGCCAGGGGGCCTGGCCGCAGCTGGGGGGCAGCGAGTGGGCCGGACATAGGGGCTGGAGGCTGGCAGCAGAGGCGGAGCTGCAGGGATGCTGGAGGGCGTCCACAGGGAACTGGGGTAGTGAGGGGTAGGGAAGCCCAGGGCTGCCTTCATTTCTTTTATGCCAAACCGGGCGAACAGAAAGGCAAGAGCTTCTGGAGTGCCTGGCCCCAGCGCAGCTCACCATGAAGGGGCATGAGGGGTCTGCCTCTGTGAGACTCCACGGAGAGGGGTTCCCTGCTGAGGCCCACCTGACCTGGCGTCCTGCACCTGCTGCTGATGGTGGCAGCACTGCTCGCACGGGCATGGCTACCCTGCTGGGCTTGAGCCCACACCCCATGCCTGGAGGGCTCAGCAGGAGACACAGGCTCTGGGGTTCCCAGCTGAGAAAAGAGCCAGGTTCCCTTTCAGGGGCCAGAGAGCCAGGGGCTGATGCTGCCAGTGACCCCATGAGTTGAGTGCCAGGTGTGCGCACCCTGAGAATGGTAAAGTGGCTCCTGGGAGGTGCCTGGGCGCTCCTGGTGGGGCCGGTGGGAGGCATGGTGGGCCCTGCAGCTGGGCGCTTCCTCACGCATCTGTGGAAAAGGCTTCTGAGACTTGGAAAAAGGGCTCTACTGCTGAAAACAGGCTTCACGGTCACACAGACTCACACTCCTTGGTTTTCACACGTGTCTGCCTTGGGGGCAGCCAAGCTTGGCTGTTCCCACTCTGGCTGGTGTCTTAGGGTGATGGACGGGCACGTCCTCTGGGGCAGAGAAGGGAAGCTGCCCAAGCACCAGTGTGGACCCTGCACTGGCCCCAAAGCCTTCCAGGGAAGAGGAGCCTGAGGCCCCAGGTGTGCAAAGCTGCCCTTCCCCATCTTCTCGACCGTCTACCAGGAGAGGGAACACCGCCTCAAATGTCTGAAGCCTAACAAGGACTTCCGAAGACTGGGAGTGAGGCTCTCAGCCCGAGGACGCACCACAGGAACGTGGGAACGTGGGAATGTGGGCTTTGGTGATGTGTTAGAAAAGCATTTAATAACTGGTTAATCTGTGTGGCTCGCGATGCACACTCACCTCCAGGCATCACGAGGCCGACATCCTGCACGGTGAGCACGGAGAGCTTCTCTTCCGAGTCCACACGAATGACTCCGTAGGTCAGCCCGTGCATGGAGAGGACGCCCCGGCCTGGGGGCTGGTTACTGTCATCCGTGGGCCTGTAACGACAGTTTTTAACTTGAATATGCAGGGGCAGATAAGCCATCACAACCACAGCTGTGCAGTCAGCACACATGCGGCAGGCTGGGCACCCCTGGGAACAGTGCCGGCCACCCACGTGGCCGCATTAGGGGGTGCTCGTTCTGTTTATGAATGGCTGGTGGCGAGTCTACTGCTTCAGCCTCTGCATTCCCAGGGAATCTCAAGAATACCCGAAAACTACGAAGGCAGCTCCTCTCCTGCCCTCTCTATGCAAGCCCTGCACAGACCGGCTCTCTCTCTCCTCCCAGCTCCTGCTCACTGCACAGTCTGCTCTTCAGTTTCGCAAATGTCTGGAAGGGGGTGCATCCACTCCAAGAATGCAGGCAGAACCACTGAACAGAAATGATGGAAATCCCGACTGTCCAGCCTCAATTCAGAGGCAGGCCGTCTGGGCGTATGCCCAATTTTATATATAAGAATCTAAAATAAGATTTACGCTGTGCCATTCTGGCTGCCAAGTTCTAAGGAAAATTATTTGGGTGGCAGGCAAGCTGTAGAATGCACTGTGGGTCAGGAGAAGGAGGTCCACACAAGGCAGGTTTCAGAAGACCACTGCGCACACCACTCTGGGGTCCGCCCCGCCGCCTCTGCCGGACACCCCAGCCTGTTCCCGCCGTGCGGCTTCTGCGCTGGTTCTCGCTGCTACCCGGGACGTTCCTCCGGCAGACCTCCGCACGGCCCTCTCCCTCCGCGTCTCCAGAGTTTGGCTCAAATTTGGGACTTCTCATCCCCTCAGAAAACACTCCCCACCCAGGTGCCCGCCCCACAGCACACATCTCTGACTACCTGCGACCTCCTCCCTCAGACCCAACTCTCCTGAGTTTGTTTTGCTCACTGCTGCATCCCAGCCCTGGAAAATGTCTAGCAACAAATATCTGCTGACTGAATTTGTGAACAAATAAGTTAAAATCTCTCTAAGATCATGGATTATATTCCTGAAAACTAACAATTCCTCACTGGTTATCTAAGTGAGTCACCACAATTTAGGTACACATCACATCTGTTCCTGTAATTTTCCATATATAAATCTTTAATGCACTTCAGACTTAAAAGCTGGACCTAAGCTTGCTGTTTAACTTTAAAATATTATGGTTTATAATGAAAGTGAAGACATAAATGAGGCAACATAAAAGTTAAAATTTGCAAGAGGAGATCTCATTTGAATGAAGTAACTGGTGTACTGAAAAAAGCACGAAAGACTCTGGAAACAGAATTATTCCAGATGTAAGAATAAAAAAGGATAGAGCTAACCAGATAGAAAAGAAAAGTCTGCCCAAATAAGAAAACCCACATGGAACCACCTAGATAGGGTGAGCTCAAATCACTGGGCTCTACGTTATTCTCCTGGCCTTTACTTCCCAGAGACCCCAAACAAACCAAAACTTCGAAATGAACAGTGTTGTCAGTGGTCCTGCCACCCTTCCCTCACCCTAAGAGTCCTCTACAAAGATCGATGTGGGAGTCAGGAACTGTGAGCTTCAGTATCTGCCGTGGGTTGAATCGTGTCCCTGCAAAAGATCACCCCTCGTATCTGTGACCTTATTTGGAAGCAGGGCCTGTGCAGAGACAGATGCCCTGGACTTACAATGGAGTTGCAACCTGATAAACCCATTGTAAAGGTGAAAATCGCAGGTTGAACCACCTTAAGCCAGGGCCATCTTATGACCAGGTTAAGATGAGGTCATACTGGGTTAGAATGGACCCTAAATCCAATTACTCGGTTCTTGTAAGAGGCGAGAGAGGCCCGGACACAGGGAGGAGCTCACATGATGATGGAGGCAGGGACTGCAGTGACAGGTACCCGTCCAGGATCGCTGAGCACCCGAGGCCGGGGTGAGGCCTGGGACAGGTTCCCTCAGCACCTCCAGAGGCCCAGCCCTGTGACACCTCAGGGTCTCCGACTCCAGCCTCCAGAACTGAGACAAGTGTCTGTTGTTTAAACCACCCACCGTGTGGTACTTTGTTACAAGAGCCCGAATACACTAACTTAGTGATAAAAATTTAAGGTATTTAAAAAGTCACATGAAATCAAAATGCTGGGCTAGCCAAGATTCAGAACGCTGACCTGCCAGGCCAGAGGCTGGGAGAAAAAGTTATCTTAGGGCCCAATCACGTGTTTTGTTGTCTCAATTACAAAATCCCCCTTCCCTCCCTTTTTCTTTTCTGAGACACAGTTTCACTCTGTCGCCCAGGCTGGAGTGCAATGGCGCGATCTCGGCTCACTGCAACCTCTGCCTCCCAGGTTCAAGCCATTCTCCTGCCTCAGCCTCCTGAATAGCTGGGACTACAGGTACCCACCACCACAGCCAGTTAATTTTTTTGCTATCATTAGTAGAGACAGGGTTTCACCATGTGGGCCAGGCTGGCCTCGAACTTCTGACCTCAAGTGATCCGCCCATCTCAGCTTCCCAACGTGTTGGGATTACAGGTGTGAGCTATTGTGCCTGGCCAAGATCCTCTTTTCTATGTTTAAACACAGTTAATGAGAAATAAGACTTGCACATTTAATAATACCTTAAAATTACAAATTGCATTTGCTATAGGAACTTTTCAATTATGCTTACACAATGATAGTTACAGGAGGCCGAATATGTTCATATTAGCGACATTAACCTTGTATTAATTTAACCTGCCACTGTACATTTATTCATATTTGATAGATTCTCTTGCTAGTCGGAGAAAATGCATGGCCCTGGGTTTCCTTCCTTGCAGATGTGCAAGACACTGGCACACAGTCAGGCACAGAAACGCAGTGCTCCCGACACACACACAAGCAGACACAGAAGCGTGGTGCTCCTCCCACACACACAGGCGGGCACAGAAGTGTGGTGCTCCCCCCACAGGTGGAGTTTATTGTGCCTGGCCAAGATCCTCTCTTTCTATGTTTAAACACAGTTAATGAGAAATAAGACTTGCACATTTAATAATACCTTAAAATTACAAATTGCATTTGGTTATAGGAACTTTTTCAATTATGCTTAAGCACAATGATAGTTACAGGAGGCCGCATTGTGTTCATATATTAGCGACATTAACCTTTGTATTAATTTAACCTGCCACTGTACATTTATTCATATTTGATAGATTCTCTTGCTAGTCGGAGAAAATGCATGGCCCTGGGTTTCCTTCCTTGCAGATGTGCAAGACACTGGCACACAGTCAGGCACAGAAACGCAGTGCTCCCCGACACACACACAGACACAGAAGCGTGGTGCTCCTCCCACACACACACATGGCACAGAAGTGTAGTGCTCCCCCACACACACAGGCGGGCACAGAAGTGTGGTGCTCCCCCCACACACACAGGCGGGCACAGAAGTGTAGTGCTCCCCCCACACACACAGGCGGGCACAGACGCGTGGTGCTCCCAGCACACACACAGGCGGACACAGAAGCGTGGTGCTCCCCCCACATGCACAGGCGGACACACAGGCAGGCACACAGGTGGGCACAGACGCGTGGTGCTCCTGGCACACACACAGGCAGGCACAGAAGTGCAGTGCTCCTGGCACACACACAGCCAGGCACAGAAGCCTGGTGCTCCCAGCACACACACAGCCAAGCACAGAAGCGCAGTGCTCCCCATACACACACAGCCGGGCACAGAAGCCTGGTGCTCCCAGGACACACAGAGCCAGGCACAGAAGCACAGTGCTCCCGGCACACACACACAGGCAGCCTCACAGCCCCACCTCCCCACAGACGTGGTGTCCGGGGCCACCCCTTAACTTCTGACCTGGTGGTGCTGATGCCTCCCCCTCCAGATGGCAAACCAATGCCCCAGTGGTAACCTCCATGTGCCAAATGGTTCTGAGTCTTTCATGCATAGGGACTCAAAACTCACCACAAGCCTATGGCTACTATTCCCCAATTTCAGATGAGAAGACTCAGGCACGGAAAGGTTGACTTCACCACCCAAGTGAGTGGTGGGACTTGGCAGCACTCAGACCCAGAGCACAGCCTCTATTCCCAGGACACTGAGTGCATCAGTCTACTGCTTTTTATAAAAACTTAAAACCAACATGAGCACATTCTTAGTATGAACAAGGCAAACATCACAGTCCAAAGGGAAAGTGCCTGTTTCTGCTCCAATCCTGTGCCCCACAGATAACCACTATGGAGATTTTTATAAGTTTAGACTCCTAGATATAAGTTAAGTATAAAATATGTATGTATACCACTACATTGATTTTTTAAAGAAAAGCAGAATCAAGATGCTTCTTCTATGTTGGTGGAGAAGCTGAGTTTTGGGAGAAGCTGAGTGTTGGGAGAAGCTGAGTGTTGGGAGAAGCTGAGGCAGGGCTTGCATGTCTGACATAATGTAAAAGAGTCTTGGAACATGTCCGGGGTCCAGGGTCTAAAACTTCTCATGGCCTTTGGAACACCAAGCTCTGTGCTAAAGGGTGGAAGGCTACCCTGATGCACCGTTATCTAAGCCTAGGGCATAAAACCCCTCATGGCTTGGAGAGAATCCAGGGCTCGTGGCCTCTGGAACGTGTCTAGATTTGCTGGCTCCTTGCTCTCCCAGGATCGAATGTATCTTGAGTTAAAAGAACCTGCTCTCCAGTATCTCAAGTAGCAGAGGATGTTCCACATGCTTCAAAGGAAATGCTAAACCATCACAGCCGCAGACCATGCGCTTGCCCTTTCGACTGCCACGTTCTCGACACCTGTTTCTTTGATCACCAATAAATAGTCTGGACGTGCAGAGCTCAGGCCCTTCACAGCCTCCACACTCACAATGGCCCCCTGGTCCCACTTTCTCTCTCAAACTGTCTTTTCTCATTCCTTTGACTCTGCCGGACTTCATCACCCCCACGACTTGGTATTGGGTCCAATCACCCAACATTCTAAAACTCAGTCTCCTCACTAAACATACCTGCAGATCTTTCCCTGTCTCTGTGTGTGGGTGTACATCTGTGTAGGTGTGTGCACCACTGCATTCAGCTGGTTTGTT